ATAATAATAATAATAATAATAATAATAATGATAATAATAATGATAATGATAATAATAAAAATAATAATAATATTAAAACAGTACATCATATCAATTATAGTAGCAACTACATAAAATTTAATAATATTAGTACATTCTATGTTTAAAACTTCAAACGGCGAGGAGGAGAAGGAGGAGGCAGGTTTTGACCAGTTTTTCTCTCTCTATTTGTACACCTAGTTCTACTGCAGCACCTAATGCAGCTAGCAAATCCAGAGAGAAACAGTAATTTTTGTCAGGCATTCTCCTTCTACGTCGCAGGACGTGATATGCCAGCTCTTTTCTCCTTGCTTCAGCTCGAAACAGTCAACATGCAACAAAGTCAAATGGGATAAAAAATTTTAATTTATTAATATCTTTTTAAGGGAATGATCGTTGTGATTTGAATATTCCTTCACATTGTACAACATGTTGTAAAGCAGGAAAACCTTCAATTTACTTTTAAATGTATGAATTGTGTTTATGTCTTTAATATCATTGCCTAGTTTGTTGAAAAGTGTAATGCCCTCTATTCGGGCACTTTATGATGAAGTGCAGTTTCAGAGTAGGGAACATGTACGTTATCATTTTAACGAGTGTTGTTGTTGTGTACATTCAACAGAGGCAGTGAAGTGTCTTGAGAAGTTAAAAGTATATGTTTAGAATATTCCTGAGACAATTTTCAAATCATTGTTTGAGGCAGAACAGTTTGTGGAAAACAACTTACTCAAAAAGACAAAACAAACTTCCATCAGAAAACATTTGAATGAGCAATGTATATTTTGTTCATTATTTTTACTTATTGAGCCAACTATTTAAAATAAATTAATTAAAATTGTGTTTTCAATATGAAGTACTTTATAGCAAGATTTCACTGTACTTTGTTGCCATAACAGTCACCAGAAGACAAAAATATTTCTTTAATTTTGCAAGAAACTATCACACCATAAATGTTTACACACTTATATACAACTAACTTACTGAGATAATGAACTGTTTAAAATGTATTTCTGTACATGAAATAAAGCCATGAGTTTTAAGGTTGTAGTATTTCTAATGTTTATTTTGTTTACTGACTTTGTTTACAGGTTGAAGTTTAGTTTACATCACTGTTTTTGGAGCTCATGACCAGGGTGTGACATGAGCAGGGTGTACAAGAGAAAGCCTCTATTCAAGTAACATCAAAATAACAATGTAGAGACAGAAGGCAGTAAAATTTAAATGAAACAATGTTACCTCTGAGAAGTAAGCCTAAAGAGTTTGGTGCAACTAAAGATTCATCCATCAATGACTACTGGGAAAATTCACCAAATTCTCAGCAATACACCAGGAGGGTAACCAAAAGTAAATGTATCTCTTAATGAAGAAAAACCTTCAAAGTATCAGTACTACAGCTACGAATAGATTTCTGCATACAACACTCACATCAGGTTTGTTGTGGAAGGACATCTTGAAAAGCAGGGAAGATATGAAAGAAATTCACGAACAACTGCCTAAGAATGGAGTGGGTCACGACTTTCCTCAGTGAACACTCAAGAATCTTGGCACATCAGTTAAGTGAAATATACATCAGTGAGCCATGGGACAATGACCAAGTATTTTGACAACTTGGAGGAAACCACTGGAGCTAGTCCTTCATCTCATATTGCCAATTAAAACAAAACCATTTATCCTCTTGAACAGAAAATAGTTGTCAAGCGGGGTGTAAAGCATCCTCAAACTACCGAATTCAACAAAAGCAACATCAGCAACATTTGATGGAAGTGCAGATGGAACTTCCACCAAATATTAGTTGTAAGTAAACCTCGGAATTTTAGGCACTTAAAATGGGTAAAAAATTATGGAATTAGGTACTTTTAGGCACGATAAATGACATAAGACACTTAAAATAAGCTACAAAATTATTAATTCAGGCTTTTAACACTTTGGTTGTGGATTCTGTTTGGGGTCATTTTTGACCCCAAGCATTTGATGCAAGGATATTATTTGGAATTATTATTTGAGAAAGTGATGATATGTATTTGCTTTATTTACTACATCGAACTAAATAAAGAATAATGTTGTTTCTAGAAAAACAATCTAGTACAACCTCATAACTGACTACACATAGGTGTCTATCTTACCAGCATGAGAATGTTTGAAGCAGAGCTACGAAATCGTAAAAAACAAATTCCGCAAATTATCACTCGGAAACCGCAACATAATACTATAAAACAGAAATGGTATTTAAGTATTTTTCTTTTTAAGTAATTTAAATGTTGATTGCGACATTTCTGAGTCCAACTGCATAAAAATAAAATTATTTAAAAAAAAAAAAAATTAAATCTGAGAAGTTTTGTACACATGTGAAAATTGGACATAAATATCATATCTAAAAGGAGAAGTTCATGAGAATATTCAATGTGTTGCAAAACATTTGCTCCTGGGGTCACAAAAGGCCCCAAACAGAGTATAAGGGTTAAAAAACACTAGACATGAAAACTTGTTTCTGACATCTAAACGGATGACAAAAGGATTAAATTAGGCACTCGGATTGCACAGGCAACCTGCTGCTGCGATAAGCCTCAAGCTGTCAGCAGTGCAACTACACTGAGAACGATGCAATTGCCTAAGACAAGCCTACTGATCGGAGTAGAGTGCGAGACATCTTTACACTGACTTACAGAGATCCTTATTTACGGTGTGTTGTGCGAGAGATTTCGGTGCATAGTCGATTGCACATTTGATCACTGAATATTTACATTTCAAGAAATTCTGAAGAGTATTTATGTTTCAGTAAAATAAAATTTAAAAAATAAGTAATTACAATATAAATTCAACAAAATTACTTGTTTTAGGCAAAAAAAAATTAAAATAGGCATCAAATAATTTAGGACAATTTAGGCACAATTAGATGATGTTAGTAGATCTTTGTGATTCTTAAACATATGCAATTATTTCCCACAACCTCCTAAAGGAACTAAATAGGCATTTGACCTAAAATGCGAGGTCTAGTTATAAGGCAGAACATTTGGGGGAAATACGGAATAGAAATGGTCATGTAAGAACTACGTACAACAGGACAAGAGCTAGTTAGTTTGATATGCTCATCTTTGAAGACTGATTTATGTCAACCATACTTTCACCACCACCAAAAGGTGATAACCAATGGAAAGGTAGGTTTTAATTGAGGGCACCCATTTAAGCCACATTTCAGAAAGAGATTGAAATACGTCTCAAAGAAGAAAAAAACACGTCCTCCTGGTCCCAGACAGCAGCCACTTGTGTCAGTCATTAAATGTAGAAATTTTCTGCACTAAAAAAAACAAAAACAACTGGTAGGGCATACTTCTGAGTAGGAAGAAAAGAAGTAAAGTGTTTACAAGAGGAATTATTTGCTTTCCTTCTAAACACTCCAAAAAGCAAAGCAAATTCTACAAAGAATTTGTACGCAAGTCTCATGGGGAGAAGAATTTTCCTATGGAATAGAAATCAAGTCTTGTTGGAAATACAGAATGTGTACAACAGAATTCAAATTAGTCAGAATCTTTTGTTGAACTTTATACGAAATATATTCATCTTGAAAGGCCAGTGTGCCTTATCAGCAACTAGATATGCTTACTAGTCAGGCTTTTGCCTTGCTTCAACTTGAAATCTTGTAAAATTGTAAAAATATAATATAATGTAATAATATAATATAATGTAATAATATAATATAATATAATATAAAAATCTTGTAAAATTGTTAAAAGAAATATGAAATATTGTGATGTTCCTTTGATTGTTTGTGTAGTGTGTTTATAGCAACTACTTAGAAAATGGTGCCATCAGAAATATTCCATGTATTCTTAAGTAGTGAATAAATATTTTATTCTATTTAATATCAGCTGCCGTAAACCATAGTTATGTTTCTGCCCCATTGTCCCGGTATGGCCAGGGGGTTTCCAGAAAGTGTCGGACTTTCAGAATCCAAATTTGACAAGAACACTGTTAATGGGTGAAGAGAACCTACATTGCTGACACAATACTGACCAAGAAATGTCCGAGAGCACTAAAAGATACACTCCAGGAGTGATACCAGCCAAGGTGCTCAATAATTTGGAAGGTCTTGTTAGAGGGGAGACCTAACTACAATATCACCAGTTTTAGGACGTGAAAACTGATTAGGTTAACATTAAAGTGTGAAATAGAGGCAAACACTTTGTTAGGGTAATTACCAGGGAAAAGCTGTCTCTACCTGCACATACATGCAGATAATGAGAAACTGAATAAATTTTCTTAAACCTGAAATGCTGAAACTAGGAAGTGTCAAGAAATGCAATACAGCATTCAAAATTAGAGACTGACGTAACAAAAGGACTGCACTACATACAAAAGCACAAGAATATGGAAACAATTAGCAAGGCCATGTAGATAGATAATTTCATTGCAATGGATGCAATGCAATAGATCACTAGCAACAAGAGACAGGAAATTCTAGAAAGTATTCGCTGGAAACTAAGCCAGAATGACAAATACAAGAAGTGCAGGAGATTCTTGAATATGTAGTTAAATGACTGAACATTATTTTAGTACACATTTGCTCAAAGCATACAAATCAGAAATTGAACTGTCGAAAATACTACAAAATTAAGTCTTATAACACATGTGCACCCACAATAAGAATACCTCAACATTTATGGGGATAAATTGTTCCCCTTATTGGTGCATTCAAATCTTCTTCAAATCTATTTTAATTTTAGAGTATAATTGAAGGGGTTAGGGCCACAAAATGATATCCCTCATTCTACACACGAAATAAAATTCTTATAATTTCCCTCAGAAACAAACATTATGATTCAAACACTAAAATATGTTCTTAAAACTATAATATGTATATACAAAGCAGTAGGAATTGAATACACAAATGTCTGTATGTTTTTCCTTCAGCTAACAAACATTACAAAAATGGGGGTTATCATTATGTTATTCTGACTCCTTTCATTACTTTGCAGTAAACTTACGGAGATTTTGGCATTTCACGGTCTGTGCATCGAAAGGTACAAGCAGGTAGTCACAAGCTTCTCGCAATTCTTGAACTGAAACAGTTGGTGGGCATCTTATGAGCCCACCCTTGTAATACTCCAGAATGGATCTGAACACTGTAGCAGATATTCCATCAGCAACTTCATACTCCCCTCTTTCATTAGGATGAGCAAACTCTATGCCTGAGCTGAACATTCTGAAATACAATATAACAAATTAAATTTATGAAAATGAACACATTAAAAACTTTTTAAAAATGGCACATATTCCAAGTACTTTACCTTCCAAGCATAGTGTTTGGATGAGCAGTAAACAATGCTGGATCCAATATAAACCGTGTATTGTCTACAACCAAGGTGATCCGTTCATCACTTGTTACTGTGGTTAAGGAGTTTGAGACAGAAGAACTACCATGTAAATCAATATCTCTGGACTGGTTAATAGAACCTTTGGTTGGGCCCAAATGATGAGATGCCCGTGTTCTGCAACATTGAAACCTTTATTTGCAAATGATTTAGAAAGTTATACTCTCTTAACAACTGTGTGTACCTGTTACGTGCACCCATATTTAATGATTGCTTAGACATGGAGACTGAGTGTGCTCTTTGATCACCAGGACCAACCTGACCTTGTCGCTGTACAAGACATGGCTTTGGTTTTGAAGATTGGCCATAACTGTAAATAAATATATAAATTTTATTAATGGCATTATGTATGCACAGGGGTACAAACTTTAGCAAATAAATTCATCAAACAAAAATCGTACCTCATTCTATTCTTATAAACTCTTCTTCTTCTATCATCTGAGTCATGATAATCCTCAGTGTCACTACTACTATCCCTGTCATATGGGTGTCGATCCGGAACGGACATGCCTCTCCTCTCTCTTCCTTCACCACAACTGTCAAAATATCGCACCAACATAAAGGAACTATGTCGCTGATTAATGCAAGATATTAAAGCAGAGGTAAGAGGTTACCACCACGTACAAGGCGCAAGACAAAACCCTCAACTCATATACAGAAATATTTAAAATCTCAAGCACACTGAATAGCAGCGATGAGAGTGTTGAGACGCTAACACGCTTCAGTAATGAAAAGTCCAGCTTTACATTTCTCATCCACACCAAAATACACAGCACGAACTGGAAGATTAAAGCACATATGTTCTAACGGGTAGTACTGCAACATACCATTTACAACACTCAACACGCAATGAAGTTCACAGATTCGGTAGGCGAACAGCTATTTGAAGCTCCAATCATTCTCCTATTAGTATCACAAAATCAACGCGTCGGAGTGTTGCGTTTTGCATTAACCGCAATGTAGGCGAAGTTTCAATTTTGCTGCTTGCTTATGCTGGACTCCTGACCCTCTCCATGAAGTGCGCTTGAAGCACCTCTGGATAACTGATATGGAAATATTCGTGAACAAGTTGAGCACAGAGTGTACAGAGGAACGCGCGGTCTTTCGAAATAATGTAGAACAAGAAATGCTAGGTCTTTCGAAACAAACTAGTAGCTGTCGAAACCTCTATATCGAGGCTTTGTTAGAGAGAAATAAGGAAGTGAAAAGTGTATGATACGTTAAGTGAGTATAGAACAATCAGAAGTGGGATCAGTAAACTCTGGACTTAAGTAAAAAACTATTCTACACCTCTTTCTTCTTCCTTTCTCCTTCTCGTTCTCATTTTTCTCTTCTCTCCTTTTTTCTACTCTTTTTCCTTTGAATGATTGAAATTTTGTACGCTCATACAAAATAGCGTACAATTTTGTACGCTATTTTAATTCATTGCGTGTCTTGAATCCATTTATTATTAGCAATACAAGTCACGATAAAATAGTGTTTTATCCATTCTGGTTAGGTAAAGTCACTCTTTATCACTTTATGACAATGTGGCACTAGTGTCGTAATGAAGTACTTAGCCGTGCTAGTGCGGTAAAGTTCTTCATTATGACGCTAGTGCGATAAAGTAATGAGGTAAATACGAGCAGGCCCGGAATACCAATCAATGAGGCTCTAAGCAGTAAATGTTTTGGGGCCCCATTAATCAATTTTTTAAATCCAAATGTATATTTTGACTCCCATTTTTAATTTAAAATCTATATAAATAGGATTTTTATAGTTTTGTTTATAAATTTATGATAAATTTCAACATACCTGAACTTAAAATGGAATACAATATTTATGCATTTTATTTCTCAATCAATTTTATCAATCAATAAATATGCATTCATTAATACTTCTTGTTTACACTTGACTATACGTATGTAGTATAGTAGATATAAAAAATATAACTCATTTAAAACATTTTCGTTTTTCTTGTGAAAAATATTGCCTTTCAGAACAGTTTTTTATCATCAATGTTAAAAACATACTAGGGCAGATTTCTAAGTTCGGAGTAACTGTCTGGAGTATATCATTTTTAATGATTTTTAGAAGTCTGTATAATTAACATGAATACTTTTATCTTCGTTCATTTTCAAAAGTATGTAATGATGAAATTGTTTCAATTCTCCGGGAAGATTCAAATCAACATCCTCAGGATACGATACAACAAGCGTTTCAACGTTAGATGATAACTCATCGTTAGACAAGTCAATGATTAACAAGAAAGCAAACTTGTTAGACAGATTTTTGTAAATCTTGCATCTACTTTTCATCTGAGCTTGGAGAATGCCAATGATCACATAAAAGGTTGAAACCAGAAATTTGCACTTGAAACTACTTGTTTCGCTTGACCATCATTAACCTGTTTTCTCCGAGTATGTCTTCGAGTAAAGTTTTCTTTATAATCAACATCAGGCAGAACTAATTTTGACCCGTTTCCGAATTTGTCAAAATCTATGCTGAGATCTTTCAAGTAATTTGACAATGATTCATAGAGATCATTGCAAAGTTTAAAATTAATTTCTGCACTTTGAAGAGCTTGAGATGCGCGATGACAGAGATGCAAAATGTCCTTCTACATTGTCAGCATAAAACTGAACTCAGATTCTTGCATTTTTGAAGTGATATTTGTTGCCTCTCGCTTAGTATCTCCTTTTTGATCATTATGGTCGGAGATAAAATTTAACGCACTAATAATTTGAGACTATGAATCAAGTATTTCTTCCGTGGCAAACGCGCTCACTTCCCAACGCGTATCCGAAAGTTTCTTTAAAAGATTTTCATTGTCAGCATGTATTTTAAGTACACTCCATCTGTGTTGAAGCAGAAAAAAATATATGTGTACAGTGTTTGCACTAATGAAAAAAATTTTAAAAAAATGACGGCTTCCAGACTACAATCGACTGCGCTACGACCAACAAGATTCAAAGAATGTGATGCACATAGGGCATAGTATATCGCCTATGATTTTTTTTCTACAATAACACTTTGCATCCCTTTATAACCACGACCCACCATGACATATTTGCCGCATTGTCGTATGATTGTCCTCTGCACTTAGAAAAATCAATGTTACAATCTTCACATAAATATTTAGAAAGGAAACTTGTTACAGTATCATGGATCTGGTATACTCCAACGGTTCTCTTTTTTCGGTAATTCAAAACATGAGTAGCAATTTGATTTCAACATGATTTTCCAGTTCCAAAAACGTTAAAAAACGATCTACAGGCAATTCATCTGACGGCAATGTATGTCTTATTATGACGCACAGTTTATCAACGTGGGCTAGATCAGGGGTTGAATCGACGAATACACTAAAATATCCACAAACTCTTATTTCATCCAAAATCGTAGAGTGAACTTGCTCACTTATTAGTTAAATAAACTCTTCGAATATAGTTTTCGACAAGTATGACACACTTCCTGTAAAAAAATTGTTAAATTCTGTAAACAATTGTTATTTTAGGAGATTCTTTATTTTAGAGATATGATAACCTTTTCCACGATTTCCATAATTTGAAATGTATGAGGCCAAAAATGGATGAAATTTAGCGACCAGTTCTAGCAGTCCCAAATAATTTCCATTTTTGACCAAATTTTTTCCATTCCATCAAAATTTTTCATTTGATCGTCGAAAAAGTAATGCCAGTTCTGCTAACGTTTGAATGATGACTGCTACTCGTTGCTAGTCATGAAGCCCGTATTAAAGTCCTCGATTTGGTCATCTAACTGAGACTTCAGTCCAATTCCTTTTCGTCGAGCCAAATATGCTAGCATTGCTTCTCTGCGATTCTGTGAATTTTCATGTTGATCAATGACACTCTTATTTCGCCAGTCACTAAACCGGTTACAAATCGCGACACGACATTTGATGGAAAAAGTTTACATGCAAAACAATACTCAAAACCATTTGATGGAAAATACAGAGCCAGTTTCGAGTGTACATTTCACCATTTGCTTGTTTTATAATGAAATAGATTTTGGAAGCAAAATCTTGTTTGGATCCATCTTGAAATGCCCTCCGTGAGTTTTCAAATGGTCCTGAATGATGTTGACAATTTTGCGGTCCTTGATTTATCAAGTAGTTGGTGTCATCCGCATTAAACGCAGTCCATCTGCCAGGATCGTTAATTCTATTATCTTGATCAGCAAAATATTGACATATTGCATTATTATCGTTATCGTCAATAAGCACCTGATTCTGTATTTCTTGCATTGTTTCTTCCCCTACCACATCCTCCACACTATCAGGAACATTTTGTGAGGTTGAAGGTGATGCAAATGGTTGAAAAAACGAAGTTAATTTGAGCAATTTCTTAATGATTTCTTAATCTTTCTGTCTCTTTTCCTCGAGTAGTTTTCGTTTTTGAGATACACTTGGATAATTTCTCTTCACTTTAAATTGAGATTAGGCTCATTAAATCACCTACAAAATAATTATTTATGTTATAGATGGACATTTGCAATTCCCGATATTAGATAAAAATGATTTAAGTCAGTAAAACTGATTTTCATTCAAATAATTAGTGTATTGGCCAAAATAAAAAATGCAACACTTGATACGTTATTTTTATAAGTGTTACAGTTTTTACAAATTATTTGAAGCGTAGCATCAGTTCGTGTCTCACGGGGAAAAATGGTATCAACCTCCCCATAAATTCAATATAAAAATATCTATTAGTGGATAGATTATACAATATTTTATTAAAAATACAAGTATATTTGCATATGACATTTATTTATAATATATTAACAACTATATGTAATTCCGAATCTAACTATTTCTTGAAAATATTTTGCGAACATACTTTCTAGTGCATTTGAATCGATACACAAAACTATACTATACACAAGACTCCGATTATTTTTTTTATGATGATATCCTCTCTTTGCTCAAATATTGTACTCAAAGGGGTTAAAAATTCGGAGAGTGGCGAATGTGTACAGTTATTTGGTAATCGTCTAATAAATATACATTATTGTAGAACTCCCCAAATAAATTCAGAAAGTCTAAAAATTACAATACTTTATTAATATTATTTTGTACACTGTTATATCGTCAGCGTCCAATCTATACACAAAATATAACATGTATTTATAGAACAAAATATAAAAAATTACAAGCATTAAACTTTTTCTTTATTTTACACATTTTAAGTACTTTCTCGCTATATATACATGTTGTATTTTGTGTACGGATTGGACGCTGACGGTATAACAATGTACGAAATAACTAACCACTTGGACTAGTATATTTCAATTATAAACAAACGTTTTTATTCTTTATCTATAACGAAAAACTATTCGATATATAATTAGGTATATGAATACTTACTTTAACAGATACAGTTATATAATACAGACACAACGACTTCAAGCAGTACAACACCTTGAATTTTGTTTTTCAAATGTTTCATCAAGTTTAAACATAAAATTCGGAGAATACCGATAGCAGCGCCGTAAGCCAATAATGAACTTGAACTCAAACTAAAGGCCGGTTGGTTTGAATCATTATACTTTTGGATAGGAAAATTTAATTCCCCAAAGTTTGAAAGATTGAAAAATTGATATTTTTGAACTTTTAAAAACGAATAATATTATGATTATTGTCCACAAGCAACCTTACATATTCTTACATACATTTTCAAATTTAATTAGCTAATATTGCTATTTTAAAAAAAAATGTTAACAAACATCAATAAATCTCGTCTTTTGAAGGGGCCCCAATTTGACGGGAGCCCTAAGCATTTGTTTAGTCTGCTTATGCGATAAACTCGGGAAAATGCTCTCGTGGCTCAATAGCGAAGTCGCTTGCCGTTCAGTACTGAGGTTATGGGTTCGATTCCCGTAAAATCCCCTTAGAACTTCACGTGAAATTTGTTGCGACTAAACAAATTTGCATGATTCACCGGTGCTAGTCCAACCTCTGTGAAGTGTCCTAAACTCTACCCCAATCGTAATTCCTTCCCAATTGTGTCCGCTGAGTAGTGACGCAGGAGCGCGTAGTAGGAG